CGTCCTGTATTAGGTAAAAGCTTTGGTTTAAGGTATGTTAAAGTTTTGGTTCAGGGTAGCTTTTGGTCAAAACAACTTTAAACTAAATACACATGCTCATTTGAAATTAACTGTTTAATATATATACTAAATTAGGTTTCGACCCAGATTTTACGATTCACTGAACATGGAAATATGATAGTTTAAAGCTTTGGTTTAAGGTGGGTTGAAAATTAAAGGTAGGTTAAAGTTTTGGTTAAGGTCAAATAAACTTGAAACTAAGTACACATGTTCCTTATTTCGTTAACTTTTTAATTATATGCCAAATGAGAGACTTGGTGAAGAGTTAATGGTTCACAGAACATGCAAGTGCGAGCGGGGTATGGTATCCTATTGACATATATTCTTGATTTCAATACAAAACATATTTAGTGTGTTTATATAGATTCTACCAATGCATCGAATGTGATACGATATTTCTCCACCCGAGGCTTGTCGAGTATCGTATTTCACGAGATTCGGTGGTGGAACCTGTTCCTCTAATGATTTATTTATTTGTTATATGTAGACAAACTTTATCTTTCCTTTTCAATGATCTGCAAAAAGACGTGTTCTTATGTGACATCATCAACCATGGTCGCATTTTTATGTGATGTCACAATAGGAAATTCAGAGGAAAGCAAGAAAGTTTTACGTCATAAATGAATTATGACCAACGAAGAACTGAGATCAAACGAACCACACGTTGATTAAGAAAAATAATCAACCGGTCGAGAAAAGGATAAATTGGCTAAGAATTAGAGAAATGTTTTTACCTATTAATCCAGTTCTATATCCTTTTGATTTTGCTTGTTCTGCAATTGCAACTTCGCTTTGTGGCAATCCTGCTGAACTTGCAAGAAATAAAATTATTCCAATTATTGATGGAGGTGTAGGTACCATTCTTGTGAAATATTATTTAGTTTATGTAACCATACCTTATACCTTATACTAGACAAGTATTACCCAAACTCTAGAGATTAAACATGACTACTTCAATCTTTTGTAAAACACAATTTTTTAATTCAAAAGTTTTGCAACTTAGTATAGCTCTTTGTTTGCTCACATGGTGATCCTTCTCTTGACTCTTTTAGAACAAGCGACGTGAATTATTAAGTGTGCACATATACCACGTTAAATAAAACAAGTAGTTAGATATGATTCTTCATACATCACAATTCGAATGAGGGAGGTTGTTGGTTCGAACCTTTAGGGGGGAGGGGTCCAATCAAAGACTTGAGAATTGGTATTTGCTGCTTTTCTGCGGAGCACGCGGCTATCGGCTCATAGTCAGATTAATGTATCCGGATAGGGTGACATGTTTTCCTGTCGATTGTTACCTTGTGAACAAGCACGTTAAACATTTCTTGATCAGCATGTCGGTCTAGAACAAATCAGAGTTTATATTCATATCACATTATCATGTTCTTTGTCCTGAGATGCATTTAATTTTCCACTGGATGTTAAACAGCCATTCATCCATCTATCCATCCATCACAACCCTCAGTGGATGTCATGTCTTTAATTCTTCGTATATTCAGGTCCTACATATATATAAATATATCAAAAACACTATAAAGAATCGGTAACATCAATGGTCATCATACATGGTTGAACTGTAGGCGTTTGCTCTAAAGTTCATTTAATTACATCCCTACCTGTTCGGGAAGGATATCGTCCGATGTCGTCCTAAATATAGAATTCTCTGACGATGTTAAAGGGGCATTAGCTGTCAAATTCATGTACACCAATTTGACTCAAATTCTCATATTTGATTTATAACATACGTATATCCAAATTACAGTAAGTCTGAAATAAACAATTAACATGCATGGACGATTATATATATATCAACATTTCGTGTGTATTTTAGTCTAAACACCACCTAATTAATCATCGAGATGACTTCCGAAAACTGCCGATGGTCACATAACCCGATATCAACATAAACATGAATATAAATAGATTGCGACCACGTGGATTGGATTTTTCTAGGTCTGTTTGATTTCATGTTACAGGTTAAATAAATAAGTTAATCATCGTTTTTACTTGTTTAAGAATGATTGTTTTGTGGATCGAATCAGTCAACGAAATGGTTCACCTTTGTTTCACTTTCAATGTTGACATTCTTCTCCTTTAAATGTCTGAACACGTCTAATACATGCGTAACCAATCTCTAGGTAAGGGGTTAAATTGAAGGTCACATGAATACGGATTCAATGAGGTCGAATTATTCACTTGGAAGTGAATAATTCATCAGTGATGTTTCTTCGCTTTTTTTTGACAAAATTGAACTAAACTGCCTGCTGTTAGACTCGCATAAACTAGTAAATTATTTATACCATCAACTATACGTCCACGGAATAGCCTTGATGCTTCAACTCGTGAAGCAGAAACAATAGGAAAACTTTAAACGAAACTAAAAAACTTAAATCCCAATATTAATAAATACATGCCGAAACAATATGAGTTTTGAAGTCGCAAACTCAATATTATTCTTAACCAACTTCGATGTTCTGCTTACTTTTAAAATTATGATATGTATAGAGTTAATATCATTTCTGATCCGTCTAGCCGCTGCGGTGTGTATCGCGCAGGTTCGCATCATTTCTTTTTTAAACGTATATTTTATTCAGAAATACGAAGTAAGCTTTTTGGAAAATTTTAACTCATAATAACTGTCCATTAAATATACAACTATTACTCAGGAGAAAAATTAAAATATCTTTAAACATGTGTTTGAGTTTATTAGAAGGTCGAACAGATTCCTTATTGTTTAGATAGTTAAACATGACCACACACAGTTATTTTTTTTCGTTGTTATGTTTTGTGTTCTATCTTTTTTTTTCTTCCTCTTCTTTTGCACCGCTTACATTTTCTGTCCAATTTATACAAATGTTGTAATGATATGTAATGTATGCATGCTGTTATATATTTATTGTTTAATAGGTTAAACGGAGAAGACTTCATATACTTTCCTAAATTCATTTGTACATGAATTCTTATGATTGTAGATAACATATAGTATCTGAAGACTGAATTAAGACCTGAATCTCAATTTAAATTAATTAAAAAATTAGTAAATTCCAGGTCCGAATGACCTACGTTATATGCAAGATTGAAAGTAGGTGAGTGTCTGGGATCTGATCTTGGGCGTGCAAAATAAGTTATGAAAAAGTCATCATAGACACGAAGCTCATACATACATTCCCATCCAAAAAAAAACTGTCTTCTTCAAACTCTTAATACCAAGAAGCCTACAGTATGAAAAGTTGGTTATTTGCATTGATCCTCTTCTGCAAATTTTAGATAACATATAGCATCTGAAGCCCCAATTTAGACCCCAATCTCAATTTACATTTATTAGCGTAAACTCCAGGTCCGAATGACCTACTTTATTTGCAAGATTGAGGTTGGTGAGTGTCTGAGATCTGAACTTGGGCGTGCAATATATAAGTTATGAAAAAGACATCAAAGACACGAAGCTTATACATATATTCCCATCCCAAAAAACCGTTGTCTTTAAATTCATAAAACAAAGAAGCCTACGTTTTGAAAAGTTGGTTATTTGCATCGATCCACTTCTGCAAATTTTAGATATTTACATGACACTGTGTCTTTTTAAAATGTCTTCGCTAAATTTGCTTATGAGTGTTTGCTAATTTAAAACGTGTGTTTGTTACTATGATTATTTTATTGTATTTTATATTTCATAGCTATCATATTATCCTATGTTAAATTATATCTATACACAGAAAAATTGAACGCATAGTGATTCCGTATATGATTGATTGATTGATTGTTGGTTGCTTAACGTCCAGTGGCAAATATTTCATGCATATTCAGGACCAGAACAAATTAACAACAAATACAATAGGTAGGTTCTGTAAGAGGGGCGTCCGGGATTAAGGTCGGTGAAATTTAGAGTGCCACGGGAAATGAGGGTATATTGGATAGGGACAGAAATTTAGCCTTGCAACAGGTCAGCTACGGACCCCTCAAAGAGTTGTTGGAAGGGTTCTTAACGTACAAAGAGCGTGGCACTCTCTTTACACGAGGCATCGGATTTAACGTCCCCATTCTGACCGGACGTGGCTGCAAATTTGTACATCCCGCACAGCCAAACGGACGCCCCACTTTAGCAAGGGTTTTACTGCCGGTCGGAGGAAGACCAATGGTGACCATACTTCTATTCCCCAGTCACCCTTGGGGATGATTCCGTATATGTATCCCTGGCAATCATACCAATATTCTATTTTTTTTTAAATGTATATTTTTTCTATTGTAATTCCTTGCATCTACCTGTTTTAGTGTACACAAAAGACCGACGTGATAGATATGCTACTTCTAGACGGGCAATGCTACAAAAAATTGAAAACAACATGTTTAATAATTTCATACGTCCGAAGCGCTTTTCTGGATTTACCTTCAAGTTCAAAGCCAAACATTTGAAATCCGAGGGATGTATAAATACCGAAACAGTTGAAGCGCTATATGACAAAAATACATAAAACAAATAGTCAAATTCATCTAAGGTCAACTTTGCCAAAGGGAGTTGAAACCTTAGTTTCTTTATAATTTCAAAATTTATAAACGGACAATTTTAGAAAGGTTTGTTATAAATCATGTCAGTACCGAAGTACTGACTACTGAGCTGATGATACAACTTGTACAGTAACAAGCATATTGGACGAAACTGGACATTCGATTCTTTTAACGACTTATTTTCCTTCAAAAAATATATCCTATTTTTTCCAGCCTAATTCTTTCCTAAGTCTAAAAATGAATAGTAAGCCTTTAGACTAAGAAGTATAACTTATCACTAAAAACCGAGTTTTATATATACATGTACAATAAACCATAAGATGACGAAGATTTGGACCTTGACATTTTCAAGTATTCATGTTTAGCTCGTCAAAACATCCTCTTAAAACACACTTTTATAAATCCTGTTAACGGATTTTGCTTACATCACTTTGTAGAAAATTGACATTTCTTCGGAAGGAGTCATAATATTTCTTAGAAAAACGAAAGTAATCCTACGTAAGTTGGATATGAGTCTCATTTCCTACAAGTGTATGCGTACAAAAGGATCGGAATATATTCCCAGTCTGTAAACTTGTTTAGTAAAAGGTAAGGATATTTATTTAGTGTGTTAGAGGTACATGTACTAAGTATTCAGTTAAACATTTAAAATATGAAATGTTAATGGATATAGTACAATTTATATTTATTATATAACAAGTGTGGACACAGATCAGTGTGGACAGTATGATTGGATGTTTGACAGTGTTTTATATGACAAAAGGAGTTCTATGTTTTATGTTTTCTATGTATTAACTGTGTTGCACAATGACAACCAACATGAGCATTAGGGGTGTTGTTTGTGTAATATTTAGTTTTTCATGTTCAACAGATACTAATTGCATTAATTACTAAATGATTATGATAGAATATATATGTTCCACATCTTTGATTTTGGATACATTTTGTAGCTAGGAGAGGAACACACAATTGGTTCATTTTTTTCTTAATGTGATTTTTTTTTATATGGGAGATGGTATCTGAGAACATGTATTTGCTTACTATTTGTATGGTTCTATTTATATTACTTTGTGGGGGATTGTCAGTATCATAAGTAAAAGATTTCGGTTAAATGTGGAAATTGTTTCTCAGTTTAGAAGACATTTAATGTTTTTCAGTAATGACAATGCCTGACATGATGATTGGGGCTAGATGAGCTAGAAAGTGAATTTCTGTGTTATTTTTTATTAATTCTTTGAAAATATCTCCTCCAAAGCTGGTCAAAGCAAAAAAAAAGTTTTGACCAGTATGAAAATGATATCAACAAAAGAACCTTTGTGAGCATGCTTCAAAGACTCATAACTAACTACAGAAGTCATATGATAAAATGTCAAGTGGGTATTATGAACATCTACTTAATATGTCTAAATATCTAAAAAGTTTTAGTATTCAATATGAAAAAGCTATTGCAAAAGTATTCTCTTTTCAGTTTTTTTGTTATATGGATACAAATATAAGTGATACCAATACAGTAAGGCAGTTTTGTTATGGTATGAAAGTGTAGTAACTAACATTTACTGTTAATTCACACAAATTAAGAAATAAACAAATGAATGATAAATGTTGAACATGTACAATGAAATATATTTTAGAAATCGATTAGGCCAGATAGGCCTTATAAATTCTGATCTTTTTCTTAACATACTGAATGACCATTTACACTCAGAACTGAGTCACCAGTAGGCAGTACAGATGTAAAAAAAAAAATAAATGTGGATAGTGTCCACATGTGGACACAGATGATGCCCCCACTTGCATATCATATAGTTATAAAGGGACATAACTGAAGTGGTAAAAGTGACGCTACCTAAATTTGAACTTGATCCTAGTTTTGTGGTAATAAGCATTGTGTGCAAGTCTCATAACATTTGGTTGAGGCTAACTTAAGTAGAGAACAGAAACTAAAAATTCAGCAATTTCTATTTGTAAACACGCAATAAATAATTATAACTCTAGAACGGTTGTGTATAAGTTTTATAACATTTGGAAGTTAGAGAACGGAAACGAAAAATTCAGCAATTTTTATGTTTATAAAGGGACATAACTCAAGAATGGTAAAAGTGTTGCCACCAAATTTCGTACTTAATCTGTATTATGTAGTAATAAGCATTGTGTATAAGTTTCATAACATTTGATTGAGGCAAACTAAAGTTAGAAAACGGAAACAAAAAATTTGTACTTGATCTTAGTTTTGTGGTAATGAATATTGTGTATAGGTTTCATAATGTTTGGTTGGGGCAAACTTAAGTTACAGAATGGAAACTAAAAATTTTGCAATCTTTCAATTTATAAAGGGGCATAACTCAATAATGATTAAAGTGACACTACCCAAATTCAACTTGATTTGTGTTTTATCAGTGGAAGTCAAAATTAAACATTGCATTGTATAAAGCATTGAATGTAGCTGATTCAACTATAATCATGGACAAAGGAAGATAACTCCAATTAAAAAATTACTTGATATTTAGAAGAAAATAAAAATTTTGAAATTTTTCCATTTCTTAAGGGGCATAACTCTAGAATGGTTAAAGTGACGCCACCAAAATTCATACTTGATCTGTGTTTTGTGGTAATAAGCATTGTGTATAAGTTTCATAACAGTTGGTTGAGGCAAACTTAAGTTAGAAAACAGAAACGAAAAATTCAGCAATTTTTCCATTTGTAAAGGGGCATAACTCTAGAACGGTAAAAGTTACAAAACCAAAATTCATACTGGATCTGTGTTTTGTGGTAATAAGCATTGTGTATAAGTTTCATAACATTTGGTTGAGGCAAACTAAAGTTAGAGAATGGAAATGATAAATTCAGCAATTTTCCATTTGTAAAGGGGCATAACTCTAGAACGGTAAAAGTGACGCCACCAAAATTCAAACTTGATCTGTGTTTTGTGGTAATAAGCATTGTGTATAAGTTTCATAACATTTGGTTGAGGCAAACTAAAGTTAGAGAACGGAAACCAATTTTGGGACGTACGTACGTACAGACGGACAAGGGTAAAACTTAATGCCCCCTATGATACGGCTGGGGCATAATAAAATGTAACAAAAGAACCTAGCATCATATTGCTAGTAGCGCCAGTAGCATTGTTTGGTGAATTTGTGCTTCTTTTTTTTAGTTTGGCTAATGGACAAAAAATCTAAATAAAATGCTTTTATCTCCCTATTACTTACATTGTTCATAGAATGGATACTACTTTGACAATTCCTTGTACATGAGAGTTGTCTGTCAAATCTTTATTTCACAAAGAATGAATTGCATAACAATGAACTGAGCTCAAAGCAAAGCACTTTAATAATACACTTAGACAATGAGCTCAATCCAGTGATATACTTTGTACTACAGGTCCTTCATGAACATCCTACATGTACTGGCCAAAACCATATCTCACAAACATGCCATACTACATGGTTGGATCAGAAGTCCTGAAAAAGACATGAACTTTATTAACATATTTTAAGTATATGCATCGGTTAAAACGTTCACAAATTTGTGGTAAAATTATTCAGTATCTAGCAACTATCAATCCCTTCATGCACAAATTGATATAGGTTGAGTACCCCTCTGTCAGAAATAAGAACATACCTCCACCTAATTTTAGTTAACTGATGAAGAAACATTCAAAACTATAAAATGTTATCTAATAGACTAGCTGCAATGAAATCCCAGTTTTCTAAAATGGTAGGTGGAACCTAAAACTCAAAAGATTTTAAACTATGCATTTTAAATATTGCAAAGATACATGCAATAATAATTCTCAAAAATTCGCTATATTTTTCCTCATTTTGTCTTTTGGTCGAGACTGTATATTGACCTCTAGATGTCTTTCAATTACATCCAGTTTGGCGTGGGTTGATGTTTGATTGTTGTACATGTTATATATCGACGTGGGATTTGTTTATATAAATTAGGCGTAAAATAATTTTGGTTAACTGAAATCCTTTAACTTACTTCCAAATTATTTGGTTAACTGAAATCCTTTAACTTACTTCCAAATTAATGTTAATACTGAGGGAAAAAATTACATTGCTAAATAACCACTTTAAAACACATGCAAACTTTTTGAGAGGAAGGGATAATGCATGTAACGTCTATTAGATCTTTTTTTAAACCATTCTAAACTACTGTTAAGTGATAAAGTTTGTTAACTGTTACTTACCTTCAAAAAGGGGGTTGCATTCACTTTACTACATATACATATAAATATAATCAACAATACTGAGTGCAACACCTAGGATAAATAGAGGATTGTTTTGTAAGAATAGTTGCTGAAATAAGCAGGCAATATTCAAAGTAGAATAAAAAATATTACAGGACTGTGTTTTAAAGTAATACGCATTGTGCAGGGCTCACGTTACCATGCTACTGGGGCGACAAAGTCGCTTTCCCTGTCGCCACTTCGCTTTGACCGACCTTCAAAAGCGAAATCTAGTTGCCCTGTTGTTTACGATACTCACTTTCAGTCGCTTTCGTCATCTGCAATATTCAACATTTACCAAGTCGATGAAACAGCAATTTTTCATTTGAAAGTAAAGAAATTCAAAGACGTAAACAATTTATTTTCTTTAGGAGGTTAAAGCATTGATTTTAAAGTTGGTTGCATGTTATTTTCATAAAGACAATTTTTTTTATCACTTCTGGTACTTGTTACTCAATTGTAGATCAAATCATTCTAACTTTCGGCAAAATAAGCTTGTTACTTCATTAGAACGTGATGAAATTAAAGATTTCTTGCTGTTGTGCAATACACTGTGCTGTTGCGCAATACTTAGTAAATCTGTCGTCAGACTATAAACAAATAAAGTTCAATTAATTCCCAGTCATATTAGAAATTTATGAAACTGTAAAGGGAGCTTGCATCAATAGATATTCACTTAAGTTTCATGAGAATTGCTGACAGCATTTTTGAGCTATTGTCCGAAAACTGGAAAATCACCCCTTTTTTAATGAATAAAACCCCATAACTCAGAAATGTAAAATGTACAATTTATAAAATTTTAAACGGAGCTTACATCAATATAGATATAAACAATTCACCAAAGTTTCATACAAACTGCTGAAAGCATTTTTGATTTTTGTCCGAAACTGGAAAATCCCCCCTTTTTTCATGAATAAAACCCTGCAACTCAGAAATGTAAAATCTAAAATATATAAAAATCGAAAGGGAACTATGCAACTCAGAAATGTAAAATCTAAAATATATAAAAATCGAAAGGGAATTATGTCAATAGATATAAACAATTCACCACAATTTCTTGCAAGTTGGTGAAAGCTTTTATTGTCTGAAAACTGGAAAATCCCCCTTTTTTCAATGAATAAAACCCCACAACTCAGAAATGTAAAATGTACAATTTATAAAATTTTAAACGGAGCTCACATCTATATAGATATAAACAATTCACCAAAGTTTCATACAAACTGCTGAAAGCATTTTTGATTTTTGTCCGAAACTGGAAAATCCCCCCTTTTTTCATGAATAAAACCCTGCAACTCAGAAATGTAAAATCTAAAATATATAAAAATCGAAAGGGAACTATGTCAATAGATATAAA